CTATTTTGTTTTACATTTGCAACGCGCGATTCATAATAACGCGCGTCTAAAATATGCTCCACGTTGCATAAATACGTATAGGTATTTATAAATACTGTACGTTTAAATAAACCCCGCGCAGAATTTGCTTTTCCATTTCACCGCGCCCATTATTTGCGTGTGACTGACTCGGCTTCGGCTGTTTCGCCTGCCAGAGCGTGCGTCCTGCTTTGCTGGCTGTTGTGGAGTTTGATTCATAAATCAATGTCAGCTCCACCCGCGCAAAGCCAAAACACGATCCTCTATCAAGAGAGAGACAGAGCGCGCGAGCGAGATTGAGAGAGAGAGAGAGCGAAGCATCTCGGGGGTAAAGAATGCTGTCTCTCTCTCTCTCTGGCATCTGCACAGCGAGAGACTATTGTCCCAAGTTCCAAGGTCAGGTTGATTACGTTATTTCATAATAACGTAATCAACCTGACCTTGCGTTAATTGTGTTTTGACCGACCGTCTGTGTTGCGTTATATGATTTCCAAATCTTGCTAAAACCTGTTTGATTTAGTGTGCTCCCACGTTTCTCTCTCTCTGTATCCCCTGTTGTATCTGTGTCTGTATATATATCTGCGGTTATGTGTCTCCTCTCTCTCGTAAATTTAGCTCTTCTGTACCTGATGATGATTGCTTGTGTTGCAATCGAAACGTCATACACTATTATGTTATTTTATTATTTCTACGTGACTTTATCGAAAAAACCAAAGAATAATTCCTGCATCTTCTTTGGTTCTTTCGGTAAAGTCACGTAGAATGAGAATAAAATAATAAATTAATAAAATAAAATAACACAATAAAAGTCTCACGACGTTTCGGCCACAACACAACACAAGTGGCCGAAACGTCGTGAGAATTTTATTGTGTTATTTTATTTTATGAATTTATTATTTTATTCTCATTCTACGTGACTTTACCGAAAGAACCAAAGAAGATGAATCCTTGCAGTCACGAAAGCTTTAAATCGAAATAATTCCTGCAGTCATGAAAGCTCCAAATTCAAGTTCCAGTGGTAGCGTGTTCACCAATTTTTTGTTGCGGAGGTTGGAACACGGCAGGCCGCCCTGATTAATACTCCGGGTGTATTAACTGTAATAATGCAACAAAACAATATTCGCTGCCTTTTCCACTGTGGCTGCACGCAACATTTACGCGATGATCCACCACGAACCCTCGCAGCTGCCTCCGACAAGCGCCGGCCCCACCGCCACCGCCCGGCAGTGCCGTTGCCTGGCGGCGCCTACGCTAGAGCCAGCAGCGGCGGCAGCATCGGCAGCAGCAGCAGCAGGATAGACACGCGCCGCGTGCGCATGGAGGGAGGGATGCTGCAACAGGGACGGTAGCCCGACGCCTCCGTCAAGCTCGCCTCGAGCCTTCAGAGCAGGAGCCCACGGGGGTGGAGGAGCGATGCTCGGGGTGCACCGCACGCTATTAGGCGCCCCCAATCGGGCACGCATCATTAGACGCGCGCGTGCCTCGTGGAGGGATGGGATGGGGTGGGGGGGGTACGCGGCAAGGCGGGGGGATGCGGGCGCGGTTTGAAAAGATGGAAGGGTTTTTGTGGAGATGCACAATAATAGCTCCTTTGATTGTGCTGATTATTGGTGGTGGTGGTGGTGGTTATGTTCATGGTGGTGGTGGTGATGGTGGCTGTGTTTGTGGTGGTGGTGCTCATGCTGCTGGTGGATATCTTGATAGGAGTTGTTAAAACGCACAATAACAGCTCATGTGGTGGTGGTGGTGCTGATTGTTGGTGGTGGCTGTGGTTACGCTCGTGGTGGTGATGATGGCTGTATTTGTGGTGATGGTGCTCATGCTGGTGGTGGTGGTTATGTTGATGGGGGTTCGAACAACAACAACGATGGTGGCGATAGTGGTGGCATCGGTGATGATGGTGGGAGCGGCTAAGAAGTCGGTGGTTGGCGGTGAACGTGATGGTGGCCACGATGACGATGGTTAACGATGATGGCGGTGCTCCTTGTTATTGATGGTAGCTGGCAGTAAGCGGTGGCAGTCGCAGAGTGGCGGCGCTGACGGTGGCGGTGCTGGCAGTGGTGCAGTTTGCCACGGCAATAACGTTGCTGGCGGCGGTGGTGGCAGCTCGTGAATCCGCATCACCCCGCGCCGCTGAAGTCGAAGTTAAATTATTTCCAGCCGTACGGTGTCTACCGCCCTCGTACGCGCGCGTGAGGATAGAGACGACAATTAAAAAAAAAACACCTTCCGAATCACAGACGTAGATTTGTTGGGGAGCCACGGCCGCTCGGCACTCGCGTGCCAGAGACAACCCCAACCGCGGCGGACGCATCCCGCGCCTCGCATCCCTCCCGCCCGCGCATCGCTGCGTCGGCTCCCGCCGCGTCCGCAGTCGAGTGGAGTCTAAGAATGGTGATGCTCGTATTTAAGGCCTTGCCGAGGGGTGTCCCCCCACGCCCCCCCAACCACCGTTCTGTTCAGGCGCCAATTGAACCTCGCGCCCAGGCGCTCGACGTCTCCGAGATCTGCCGACGGCGCCCTTCTGTGGACAAACCTCCATCTCGGCTACACTGGAAGGGGGCGATCGGTTGTTTGCTGCATTGGCCCCCAATTGGTGACCACCCCCCCCCCCCCGGTTGTGGAACTCTCTGCTGGTGCCCCCCTGGTTGTGGAACTCCCTACTGGTGCCCCCCCTAGTTGTGGAACTCCCTACTGGTGCCCCCCCTAGTTGTGGAACTCCCTACTGGTGCCCCCCTGGTTGTGGAACTCCCTACTGGTGCCCCCCCCAGTTGTGGAACTCCCTACTGGTGCCCCCCCCAGTTGTGGAACTCCCTACTGAAGCCCCCCCCCCGGTTGTGGAACTCCAAACTAGTGCCCCCCCGGTTGGGGAACTCTCTACTGGTGCCCCCCCCGGTTGGGGAACTACATACTGGTGCCCCCCCGTTGTGGAACTCCCTACTGGTGCCCCCCGGTTGGGGAAGTACATACTGGTGCCCCCCCCCAGTTGTGGAACTCTCTACAGGTGCCCCCCCCCCCAGTTGTGGAACTCTCTACAGGTGCCCCCCCGGTTGGGGAACTCCCTACTGGTGCCCCCCCAGTTGTGAATCTCCCTACTGGTGCCCCCCCCCAGTTGTGGAACTCTCTACAGGTGCCCCCCTGGTTGTGGAACTCTCTACAGGTGCCCCCCCCCAGTTGTGGAACTCCCTACTGGTGCCCCCCCCCAGTTGCGGAACTCCCTACTGGTGCCCCCCCCAGTTGTGGAACTCCCTACTGGTGCCCCCCCGGTTGGGGAACTCCCTACTGGTGCCCCCCAGTTGTGGAACTCCCTACTGGTGCCCCCCTAGTTGTGGAACTCTCTACAGGTGCCCCCCTCCAGTTGTGGAACTCTCTACAGGTGCCCCCCCCAATTGTGGAACTCCCTACTGGTGCCCCCCCCTCCCAGTTGTAGAACTACCTTCTGGTGCCCCCAGTTGTGGAACTCTCTACAGGTGCCCCCCCAGGTGTGGAACTCCCTACTGGTGCCCCCCTAGTTGTGGAACTCCCTACTGGTGCCCCCCAGTTGTGGAACTCTCTACAGGTGCCCCCCCCCAGTTGTGGAACTCCCTACTGGTGCCCTCCGCCCCCCCCCCCCCCCCCCCACTTGTGGAACTCCCTACTGTAGGAGATCAGGCTCTCGGACAGTGTTCATATCTGTAAGTCTAAAACGAAATGTCCCTTCAACAATTATTTGTTCTAATCTGCTCTGTTCCTCTTCGGCGCTTATGCTGACACCCAGTTCCCTTATTATCTTTGTACTTTTCGCGCAAGGCGCCCTGAGACATTGTGAAATTGCACCTCATACGGGCCAATAATAATTGTCATTATTTCTCGTTATCACTGCGTTAGTCACGCGCGGGTCTCTTCACGTTCTGAACGGACGAGGCTGTGCCAAAAAAGGCAGAGTCTTCAACATACATTACACGTTGACTCACTCTCACGATGGAACACAAGTTGTTGATTTACCACCATCAGCAGCAGCAGCAACACCGTCACGTGGGTCCTAACCGCATAACTCACTTTGGCACCTACGAAAGGCAAAGATCCCCCGTGTAGCCTTAACAGACTGTCGGGGGCAAGTGCTGTAAGCGAGTACCTATGCAGGCCGGCGTGGCCACACGAGGGGGTGGGTGGCTAACACCACGCCCGGCCGCCTTTGTCTCCCCAGTGGCGATGAAATTTACACACCGCACCAGGTACTGCCTAGAGGCTGAGTCGACCTAGGGGAGGCCCAGGACCGGTTAAAATAATCGTCACCGGTACGTACGCACATAGTCACACGCACGCGTCCACGCAGAGCGCCTCCTTCCCAACTCGACACGAAATCGTCAATTTGCTTCGGCATAGATGGCCGAAACCAAATTTCAGAGACGCCACAAGACAAGGCGCCAAGTCTCTGTTCACAAGACGTCCAAATCAGTTGTTCGAGTAAACGTAACAAGAGCAATCATAAGGATGTCATCAGCTCAGTAACCTTCTTCGTTGTCAATGAACCATATACACGAGTTCATGTAATTCATGAAGAAGGGCCATTGCCCGAAACAGCGCAGATTATATGTATTTAATGTTGAGGCCACAGTGTTGTTGAGTTGTTCACTGTGATCGTGCACCATTGTCTACGCAGCAGCAGTAGAAAATAACGTAATTTAACAAGAGGTTAAAATAGCCACGACATCTCAAATAATGCGAAGGGTTATTATGTACTGTATATATGTTGAACTTCTTTCGCACCGTACGTAGCCAACCAACCGCGCGAATCGGTGCGGGTGAAGGACGACAAACTAAACACCCATATGACTCTTGCAAGAGGCAATGCATCTATCATCTTGTGTCCCACATTTATTTCACTCGGTGAAACAAAGGATGCTTCTGCGACTACTACGTTATCCGATCGTGCTGAAATGTAATCTTCACGCGTTAGGTGTGTGGCGATAGAAGTCGCGCACAAAGTGAAAGGTACTCACGGGTGCGTTTGCGCGAGGTCTGGAGAGCAGTCGGCTCACTCCGGGCCAGGCGCACCGCAGAGGCTCGAGACGGAGAGAGCAGCGCCCGCCCGCACGCCTCTGCTGCAGACGCACGGATGCACGCAAGCCAGCCCCGTAAGCCGCTACAAGCCAGTGAGCGTGCGAGTGAACCGGCCAGTGAACGTGCGAGTCAAGCCGGTGAGTGTCGATGAACGAGCGAGTGAGCCTGTGTATCGATGAACGAGCGAGTGAGTCTGCGTGCAGATGAACGAGCGAATGAGTCTGCTTGCCGATGAACGGGCGAGTGAGTCTGTGTGTCGATGAACGAGCGAGTGAGTCTGCGTGCTGTTGAACGGGCGAGTGAGTCTGCGTGCCGTTGAACGGGCGAGTGAGTCCGCTTGCCGATGAACGGGCGAGTGAGTCTGCGTGCCGTTGAACGGGCGAGTAAGTCTGTGTGTCGATGAACGAGCGAGTGAGTCTGCGTGCCGATGAACGAGCGAGTGAGTCTGTGTGTCGATGAACGAGCGAGTGAGTCTGCGTGCTGTTGAACGGGCGAGTGAGTCTGCGTGCCGTTGAACGGGCGAGTGAGTCCGCTTGCCGATGAACGGGCGAGTGAGTCTGCGTGCCGTTGAACGGGCGAGTAAGTCTGTGTGTCGATGAACGAGCGAGTGAGTCTGCGTGTCGATGAACGAGCGAGTGAGTCTGCGTGTCGATGAACGAGCGAGTGAATGCGCGCGAGCGCTCGTGCCCCTCCGCGCGCGCGCCCATTAATCGCCCACGAGAGTCCTCCCCTACTCCCTCAACCCCCTCCCCACTCCCACGCGCCGAGCCCCACCCCCACCACCACACCCACCCACCCCCACCCATCCCGAACCACCGTGGGCAGAGCCGCCGGCACGCGCCGATCCCTGAAAGAGGCGAATCGTTAATCGGCGAGTCCCTCGCATCGGCAGTGGTGCACAGACGCAAAATAGCGGCGCAGAAACTCAACGCGCTCGTCAATAACAACGCTGTGTGGCATCATAAGGGGGGGGACCTAATAGGCGGCCTTAAAAGGCGACGTTTCGGACAATGGCTTATCTGCACAACACATACATCACATTATTGAAGTGCTATGCAGAAGGGCAATTTCGGGCATTGGCCCTTCACAGCAAATAAATCACGAATCAGGCACGTGCTCTCAAGAAGGGCCTTTGTCCGAAAGGTCACCTATTATATGTCTCTTGTTTCCTTTCGAGGCAGCCTTTAAAAGAGGCAGACGTTCAACATCAACAACAACGTCGCCGTCGCCGTCCATCGTGTGGCGCTGCACAAGCGGCTCCCCTCCATCGCTCCAGTCACGCGGAGCTGCGTGCGAGTGGGGCACTCGTAGGGATGACGGGAGGCGGTGTGGTTGCTGCTGCCGACGATGATGATGATGATCGCCACCGAAGCCGTTTCAGCTTTTTGCGTAACGCTGCAATGAGCGTATCTCCAACACGCCGGTGTGCTGCACTCGTAACGAATTGCCCACGTTCAGTTTACGTGATAAACCCTTACTAGTTGGCTGTGTAGGGTGGTGGCGGGTTTAACGACACATTTATACATTTACGCGATCTAAACCCCCTCCCCACCCTGTATTATGGATAACTTATCTACACTCCGTTACATCAAGCCGCACTAACGACTCACAGCGGCAGCCCGATGTGATGTCACCAACATCGCTTCACGATCGTCATCTCGTCGTTATTTGTGCGCGACCACCGCAGAGAGAGAGAGTTCGGATGATCGGCGCGAGTGTTCGTCTCCCTGGTGCGTAACAACAAAAGTGGCCCCCTATCAAGTGGGGCCTGGAGTATTGATTGCAACAACAACAGAAACCACACTGTATTTAGCATATACAAGCGCGATATACAGTAGCCGCTCCGTCAATCCACTGCTGGATGAAAACAAAACATTTGATGAAACTGCGGCCGCGCAGAGCAGTGGTGCACAGGCACAATAAAAATAAAAATCTACGCATCTGTCATTCTAGGCGACGTTTCGGCCAACGGATTTTCTTGATGGCTCGTAAATCGATTTTTTTTCAACAATCTGATGCGCGCTATGAAGAAGCGCCATTGCCCGAAAAAAGATTGCCCGACTAATTAAACGTTTGTTTTAAAGCCACGTTGGCCATTGACGAATGTGTTGAGTTTTCCACTGCCGGATGAAGGGCCTCACTTGACCATACTTCACCACGCTACTCCAGCTCCCCCCCCCGTGTAGACACGGGGGGGGGGGTAGCATAGTAGTGTCGTACAACAGTGAATTGTTTGCAGCACTCCCATCTGCTGCTCACAACGCAGCTCCACAAACGTTTACTCGACTCAAGTCAATTTCACAATTAACGGAGGATGAAGGAGTCTGCTTCATTTAGTACTTGCGTGTATGTGCGGGAGTTAAATGCCAACAGTGTCGTCGTTTGCTCGCCACTTACGAGAGGGCTTCAAGAGAGGGTCCCGTGGAATTGTGATACTCCTCCGTTGAAGCAGCGCATGGTCCAGTCGTTTACTACATGGTCCATAGTTTGGGTTGCATGGCCACAATCACACTGTTGTGGCTTGTCTTTGGCTTGTCTTTCATGTATTTCTATGAGTCTACGTGTTTCTACGAGTCTCTATGGGTCTTATGTATCTCTATGGATCCCTGTATCTGGAATTAATATACCGTATAATTCATGGTTTGGGTTGCATGGCCACAATCACACTGTTGTGGCTTGTCTTTGGCTTGTCTTTCATGTCTTCCAATGAGCCGCTATGTATTATTACGTGACTCTATGGGTCTATATGTATTTCTATGGGTCTATGTATCTCTAAGAGTCATTGGTTTTACTGCATGGTCCATAGTATGGGTTCCATGGCCACAATCGCACCGTGGCTTTTGAAATAAGTTGCAGGCTAACTCAATTGCCACGCTCACGTGCCGGACAGGCAAATCAATGATTAATGGGGGGCAGTGTAACCTTTATTGCACGGAACTAAATTTAAACAATGCAACCCTGATTAACGTTTAACGTTTATACAGTATTCAGTTGTGTATTACCATAAATACAGTGAGGGAAAAGAGTATTTGATCCCCAGCTGATTTTGTACGTTTGCCCACTGACAAAGAAATGATTGATTTGCATCTTAATGAGGGAAATAAGTATTTGACCCCCTCTCAATCAGAAAGATTTCTGGCTCCCAGGTGTCTTTTTATACAGGTAACGAGCTGAGATTAGGAGCACACTCTTAAAGGGAGTGCTCATAATCTCAGCTTGTTACCTGTATAAAAGACACCTGTCCACAGAAGCAATCAATAATTCAGATTCCAAACTCTCCACCATGGTCAAGACCAAAGAGCTCTCCAAGGATGTCGGGAAGTTTTGCTCGTCTTGAAATCAACACCGATGAAATTACGCGTTCTCAGACGGCTGTGGCGGCTGATGGGTTGTGTAAGAAAAAAATCCCCTTGTAGACATTGTATGCGGAGAGATGGATTTGTGAAGGCGACGTAGATGTCTGCTTGTTTTCTTTCGTTTACTTCACGGTGGCTCAACGCTGCTTAACTCGTCTCTGGCTAAAATGCCCCCGCCCGCTGCCACCCCCGGCGGGAATCGAACTCAGGTCGCCAAATTCGTTGCGCGGTGTGCCTGCCACTCCACCACCGCTCCCAACAAACACACGGACAATACAATGGCCCCCGCCATAAGAATGTGGAGTTCCCACCAGTTGCGGCTCGCAGCTGCCAGCAGCGATGACCATTTGGCCCCACCGATTATTTAAAGCGGGGTGGCACATTGACACGTTAATAACATTTGAGAAAAAAAACAACATCTGAAAAGAGAGAATCTGATTTGAAGACAGATGAGGCAAGGCGACAACCGGGGTCTCATGGTATCAACAATGGCCCAGCAAGACCTCCCCACGACCCCCCTCCCAACCTCCCGGGCAAAGGGGGCACAGACCTCCGTCTGTCCGGCTGGCCATCTGCCTGCCAGGGCTCGGGGTGGGGCAGTGGGCGGGGGGCGGGGGCAGTGCCGGGGGCAACAGAGACTACTGGGAGGAGTGCTGGGGAACCACACGTGGGCACTTGGGCAGCGGACACGAGCCACGCGCGAGATTAAGCGTGGCGAGTTAATCCACGAGCTTCCTCCTAATCCTGAGACTCAAGGTCGCGCCATCGCCCAGTAACCTCGCGTTGCCGATGTTGTCGTTTGCAAGCGATCGACGAAGCATCGACAAGTGGATGAGTATATGTTTCAGAAGTGGCTTATCAAGCACGCTGACGTCAATGCATGCACAGTATGTGCGTGACAACAATATCAATGGATTTATAGTCTTCTTTGCTCGTATGGTGTTTAAAAAAAAAGCAGCAGCAGGGGTATAATTGCATTGCTAATGTTGTGGGCCATTTGGGGTAGTAGCTGAGTGGAGTTGGCTTGTTCCACCAGAATTCGCGTATTGCATTGGGCTGGCGGTCGTCAGTGATGTTACAGCCTGATGTTGCACAATTGTCTCTATACATGCAACCGCATCTCCAGACGGTTTACAATGCAAACGCGTGTGTGTGTGTAAGAATCGTTGCTTTCTTTTTTAATTCGTATAAGTTGAGACGCAAATGGTTTAACTATTTTTACTATTGAACTATTTGTATTTTACCAGATAAGGCAGACGAAGCTATATTGCTCTTTTTCAGAAGCGACCTGGCCACACATGATAGCTCAACAAAGTGGCTTATCGTGTGGAAACTCATAGCAGCCAAACACTCTAAATGCATGTTTCTAAATTTGGAAGGAAACCCCGAAGGACTCGAAGAAAAATCCACGCGACCAGACGGAGAACACGCAAACTCCAAATATGCAGGCGTCAGGGTTGGGATCGGACCCACGATCTGCTGTATACCAGGCGAGGGAGTTAACATCTCGCCACCGTGGTTGACATGACCCCCACTGCTAAAGCCACGATTTGGCGCTCGATGCGTGAAAATAATCTGGGCATTGAATCGAGTCGTGACCCTCGAAGATAAAGACATGTGTGATTCGCGGTTCCGAATAGTGGCAATTCTTCCCAAAAATCTGGCTAATATCAGTGACGAGTGATACCTGAACCGGTCCTGGGCACCATATTCACCAATTCGCACTGACCAACGTGGTGAAAACAGGTCCTACAACCCTCACGCCCTACGTGGTTTGGGGAGGCGTTCATCTAGCAGTGGAGAAGACTTTGCCTCGCCAAAGTTGCTGGCTCCTACGAACAACCGCTGGCTAAGACTGAGTGTTACGTCTCCAAACAACCACGCGCCACTCGTATTGTCGCTGTTACGATTGCCAGTGGCGCTAAGGATTGTCACGATTACCGCATTATCCGGATCATGAGACACCCTTCAATTGCCCGTCATCATCAGCCATGGCCCATCCACTGTCACACGAAGCGACGATGGCAGACGGTCAAGAATCATGATGGGAGTGGCAGCCAAGAAACGGAACGCGTAGAGATCACGTCTACAGAGGAGATGGAGCCATGAAAATATCAGCTTGTGCAAATGTGCCGGGCAGATGATTACATTGTAGCATCGTGAAAGACGGTGACGGCTTGGCGAGGCCTTTATCCAGCAGCGGACTGATCATGGCTGAGGACACGATATTTTTTTCATGGACGCACAACACGTTGAGTCGATACAAAAACCATAGCAAATAGCCTCTTCCAAAACAAAAAAAAACCCCATCGTACCAAAGCCATCTTTGCGAGCACGAGTCATTACGCGTGGCAGCTCTCTGCTGTTTCCAT